GAGCAAGCCAACATTTCTGTTGCTAAGTGAGACATTTGTTAACTGAATTTTGCCCCAATTTACTGTCTTTCTGGCCACAGTTGTTAAGTTAATTACTGCAGTTATTAAAAACAGTTAAGTGAAATCTGGCTTCTCCACTGACTTTGCTTGTTCGAAGGTTGCAAAGGGGGATCACGTGACCCTGGGACACTGCGACCGTCATTAATAGGAGTCAATTGCCAAGCGTCTGAATTTTGATCACGTGACCATGGGGATGCTGCAACAGTTATAAAACCAGTCATTAGTCACTTTTTGCAGTGCCATTGTAACTTTGAATGGTCACTAAACAAAGCTGTACATCGAGGACTATCTGTGCATTTTGGGAAACTGGGACTCTGCATTAGCTGGTTGTGTGAAGTTTCTTTGCTGGCCCATTTACCTTACAAGGCTTCTGTTTCAAGGGAAAAGGGGGGAAGGGAAGGCTGCCCCAAAGACTTGGGGACAAGGCGGGCGTGGAGCTTGGAGAAAAGGCCAGAGGGGCATCTAATGCAGAGAGGATTCTGGGAGATGAAGTCCACGCATCTTGAAGTTGTCAAGGTTGAGAAAGATTCTGATCTCATCAATAAAGTCATCACCTGGATTTGGGGAAATGCAGCTTCTGTCTGTGATGATTATTTGAACATCTGACTCACCACTTCCGTTTTGTAATCACTGAGATAACCTCATCCACTCGCTCAGGAATTACAAATGCTGGGGGGGGGACGTTGGTTCAAGTCGAGCCCCCCCAGCTTCTAGAAAAGAGTGCTAAGCCCAGGGCATCCTCCTTTTCGGACGCTATCAGTCCTCCCGGTCCCAGAAAAGCCTCCGCAGCCACTAATAGCGTGAGAATTGCACTCTGCAGCTGCTCAGGAGCAGTATGTGTATCTGAGTAGTAGGAGGTAAAAGTGGTGAGGCCAAGAGCTTCAGCTAAGTCACCAGTTTTCTTGGAATCAGCCTGCCAGCCCTGTGCCTGTGAGAGGCAGATAATCCTCAGCCTCCATTTAATTTTGTTATTCCATGAGAGAAAGCTGTCTCTCTATTAACAGCACTGTCACCTTCAGGAGTGGACTATTAAGGGGGGCTGACAAAGACTCTTTTGTGTTAACTTGCAGCCCTGCAGGACAGTGGGTGGACCTGCCCCCCATCTCCATCATCCTTGTCTCCATCACCTCATCCATCTCCATAACTCCGCCTCAATTGTCCATCCTCTCCATCTTCTCCATCGTAATCCATCTCCATCATCTCATCTTCATCTCCATCTTCATTATCTGGCTACTTTTGCTGATTGCCAGCTGCCAGCAGTTCGATCCTGACCAGCTCAAGGTTGACTCCACTTTCCATCCTTCTGAGGTTGGAAAGGGGGGAGGCAATAGGCTGACTCTGTAAACCGCTTAGAGAGGGCTGTGAAGCACTGTGAAGTGGGATATAAGTCTAAGTGCTGCTGCTGTCTCCATTTCCATCCTCCCCATCTATCTTTATCTCCATCATCTTCATCTCTGTCCCCATCATCATCTTCACCTCCATCATACCCCCCCATTCCAGCCAGGAGGACAGCTGCAGCACAGAGGATGCTCCCCATCAGGTGAAGCCAGTGGTAGGATCCAAATAACAACCGGTTTTCTGTTTCCGGAAGTCCATTCTGGGCCTGGGCTACTGGTTCTGCCGAAGTGGTGCGAACCGTCTGAATCCCACCACTGGGTGAAGCCTCTCAACTCCAGCCTGCTGAGCAGAAGGTTCTGTGGATGCAGCTGTGGTTCCATGGGGCTTCATTCTCCTGTCAGGTTAATCAAAGTCTTTTTGAGCTTTGGCAGCTCTTGGGAGGCCCCCTCCCTTGATCCTGATGGGGCCTCCCATAGGGAGGTGAAGGCCCCACCTGAGAGAAGACCCTGCCATCAAAGGGGCACCACCCGTGTCCTCAGCAGGATCTCCTCTGGGTTCAGCACAAGGAGATTCAGACAGTCCGAGGGGAACCAGATCAAGCCTTTGGAAATGCATGGTTCAGCTGCCCTTCTGTCACCAGACGAGGGCCACTCTGCTGCACCCATCATCTACAGGCCCAGCCCAAAGAGAAGGGCCTGGTGATTCCCCAGCCAGGTGGCTCCCGCAACCACTCATCAAAAGGCATCGTGGGGCCTCTTTTCTTCCACAATGCATTTTGTTTTCAGGAAAAGAAGGAAGGTGGGAGAATTGCAAGGAAAGATTATGCAAAGTCCCAGAAAGGGGAGGGGAGGGGAGTCACCCGAGAGTCTGATCTGGAAGCCCCCCCAAGGCTGAGCCTGGGCCTGTTCCGAGGAGCGTTGTCAAGCACTGGGCATCCAGCTGCCCCTTCTTACCAGGCAATGACCAGATGCAGCTGGGTTCACACAATACGCTCAACCTTAAATGCAGGTTAACAAAAGACAGCATGGCGTGCTGTGCCCAAAGAGTTTGGTGGCTCCACTGTGCACGGGCTCCATGTTTTATTTATTGAATCGTCTGGCAGATATCTGCCCCTCTTTTCCTCTGTGACCTCCAACCCTCCCACCTCCCCTATTTTGCCCACAGCAGCAGAGGAAGTGCAGGGCCTTGATTTGCCCAGGGGGCTCCCACGGCTGAGAGAGGATCTGGACCCAGACCCCCCCCCCCGAGATCAGCACAAAATCCTCATCACCACGCCATATCCTGAACTCAGCCATTGGCTCAGCGAAACCAAGGTTGAAACGTTGCATTTCTCAATTGGCCATTGTTTTTCTCTTTTTTTTTTTCACCTTCTCCTGGTGTAGCAAATTTCCTGCTCTGTCGGTGAACCGTTAGGATGGAGCAAAGTAGAAGTGAGATTAATAATTAAATAATAATGAAAGCAATGGAGAGCTGGGCAGATGCTTGCCCTTAAAATACAAAGCTGTCCTGCCTCCTTCGCAAACTCTGCAGCGGAAGAGCCCAGACTCAGATTATTCCCCTCCACCATAAGCGGTTTTTCAGAAACACAGAATGCAAAGAGGTTTCAAGGAAATTGGTGGTTCTTATGCTACTTTTCCGGTCAACTGGATCCACTTTTCCACTCCTCTCCATACAAATCCAGGTGCACGAGAAAAGGACAGGTGTTTCACACTAAGCCTGGCCCCACTTTTTGGAAGCTGAACTCCATTTTTGTCTGCTGGGGTTGGAGGTCTTCCATTGCCTTCTTCCAGCGGGGGGGGGGGGGGAGGAGGAGAGGATGCCACTCAGGAGGGAGGCAAACCGAGTCTTTAATGTGCTCTTTATGCACCTGCAACTGACCTTTCCAATAGCACACCTTGTCACCCTCTTTGCCTTGCTGATGAAGAAAAGCACTTGCGCCAGAGAAGAAGGCGACAAGATTTAAACTGGAACTGCTTTCCTATAAAAGCTTATTTGTAAGCAAGCCGAAAGCATCTGCCTTTATTTCTTCCCAGGTTTTCTTGCCCTCAAGTTAAGTCAGGCCCCCACCCCTCCCTCCCTCCCTCCCTCCCTCCCCCTTCTCTGGATCCCTTCAAAATCTGGAGAAAGTCAACTGGGAAATAGGACTGGGTTCCGAGGAGGAGTGACCCCATGAATAGCACTAGAAATGCAAGGCGGGGGGGGGATGTCTATTTACAGCCATGTATTGAAAAAGGGCAAGCAGAACCGAATGTGTCACTTATCCAGGAGAGGCCAATGTCCTCTCAATGGCTTAAACCACAATAAATTTGCAAGGCTGAGATTCTCAGCATATCCTTTCATTTTTTTTGCACAGGCCATGAAGCAGGACCCCTTTCTGCCGTTCTCCCAAACTCAAAGAAGGCAAATGAAGTGGGACCCAGGCAGAGGCCGAGCTATCTGCCCTCCAGAGAAGGGATTCCCCCCCCCCACGAAGTCCCACCTGCAGGTCCCTCGGCCAACAATGGGGCAGAGAACCCTCTTTGTTGTGTGGAGGCAGCAGGAGTCCCTTTCAGAACCAGCCTTCCCGAAACTATGTGCGCTCCAAAGAGAGGCCAGGCCTTGTCAGGGGCTTCTCTGGTTTGGGGGTCATGCAAAATCGCCCCCTCGTTCCACGGAAAATTAAAGAAGCAAACAAGAAGCTACGAGGATGCAGTTGCACTGAGAATGCAGCCGTTACATATTTATATGAGCTGCAACCGGTGGGAGGAATTTCTCCACCCCCCCCCTCCATTCTTTCCTGCAGGCCCCACTGTCTGCCTCACAAACAGCCCCTTTGCCGAACGGGTGAGAGTCAGCAGGCAACCCAGCCTACGGAAAAGAAGCCTCTTTGGTCGTCCTGCACAAGGTTCCATTTCTGAGAGGGCTTAAAATGCGACTTCCTTTTGAAAATAATACGAAAATAACACAAGCAGAGAGACTTTCCATCCCCTCGCAAGAACCCAGCCTAATTAAACAAAGCGCAGACTGGCTTCCGCTGCAATGCACCTTCGGAGGGCTTTGCCTGCACCACCACTGTGGCGGAGGGCTTGGACAGGGGGGGATTTGGGTTGGTGGGCCAGTCTGGACAGCCAAAAAACGAGGGGAGGGGGAAGCACACACACACACACACACACACACACACACACACACAATGCACCGGGAAGAAAGACAGGCTCTTCTCTATATCTTTTTTTTTCCTTTCTTTTTCACAGCCTGTGAATGAACACTAAGTGATTTTAGGGCACACGAAGATATTTTTAATCCCCCCCCCCCTTTCTGGAGGATTTATAACCAGATTTGCTATGACACCTCAGAAAGGTGCTCCTGGGTGGGTGGGTGTGGAGGGTCCTCTCTGCTGCAAGAACACAGCTGGTGGGCCTCAAAGCCTCCATATCTTTTGTAGTAAAAAAAACCCCCACTGCTGGTTCCATTGTTCTAACTGGGGCTTCTGGATTCAAAAGTCAGACCTTTCCAACTTCACCCAAGTTCCTGTTCCACTACAGTCGGACCCCTGTCCTGAATCCGTTTCCCACTTCTGCCCAGAGCCCCAGCAAACGCCCACCCCTACACACACACACACACACCCCTTTCTTCCCGGCGCGGTATCAATATGGAGCCGCAGCGCATTTCCAAAGCTGTTCCTAGTCTCGAATGGGAGGGGGGGGAAACCATGTTTATTTACAGTAGCCATTATCTCCCCTCCTTTGAAGAATGGAACTTCAGCAGCGGCTGGCATTCTTTTCTGGAGGGTGGGGCGCCCCAAATATCACCCCCCCGCCGCCTCAGGTTGCTCTACACCGGACGACAAAGAAGAGGCTTGAAAACACCCATCGGGATGGAGGCAGCCCGGCAGCTGCCGCCCGTCCTTCCGCCAGAAGGGAGCGCCTCCCCCGAAGAAAGCAGCGCCGGGGACCGGAGGAGGCCGAGGCGGGGAGTCCGGAGTTCCGAGATCCCCCCCCCGCCCAGGTTCCGCTCCCGTTCGGCTGCTGCTCCCGGAGCCTCTGCCGGGTCCAGCGCTCGCCTCCTTCCCGCCCCCCCCCCCCGTCAGCCGCCGCCGCCGCCGCGCGAGAGAGACCGAGGCGAACCACGCCCCCTTTCGCGCCCAGAAAGGCACCCAACAAAAGAGGGGATGTTCTCGGCCTTTCCCACCGTCTCCCCGGCCCCGGCCCGGTGGAAAGCCCCACGCGAGGTTCTCCCCACTCCGAACGGAATGTTTACGGCAACCGGGGGGGGGGGCAGAGGGGGGTCTGCACACAATTAAAAGTAACCGGCGTGTTTCTGGCCAGGCTGAGCGCCGAAGCCGCGCGTTTCTTTCTCCGGAACATCCTCCCTTCCCTCCGGCCAAGCCGGGTCCCCGCTCCGGGGCCGAAGGCGCTTCCAGGCAGACAAAGAGGGGCAACTTTCCGGCCTCCCTCCTCCAACGCCCCCCCCCGGCCGGGCAGAGGGACCACCGCGGGCCCCGCTCCGGAAGGGCCCCTCCGCGCCCCCTGCACTGGCCGTCAGTCCCCTGCGGGGAGGGGCCCTCGGCGGGGGACAAAGCGCAGGGAGCTGCCGCGCGGGCGGCCGGGGACCCGCTTAACTTGGGGAGGGTAGCCAGGCCCTTCCCCGCCCGCCGCACCGGCAGCAACCAAGAGAGCCCCAAAGCGCCTCGGCGGGGCCGACGGCGGGCGACCGAGCGGGAGGTGGCCGCGTCGGGGAGTGTCCGACTTGGAGGACTAAAGGGCCGGCCGGCTCCGGTGGCGGGGCCGGGAGAGCGAGCGGGGAAGGCAAGTGCAGCCGCCCCCGACGCCGCGGCGGCCGGCCGGAGGACAAAGGCAGGAAGGCGGGAGCGCGGCTCAGCGGCCGCCGAGGAGAGCGAGCGACGCGGGACAAAGGGCGGCCGCGGCACCGGGCTGGAGGCAGGCGGAGGCGCGGCGGGCGGCGAGGGGGAGTGGCCCTCGGCCGAGCCAGCGCCGGAGAAGCGGAGCCGCGCCGCCCGCCCGGGCAGCGAGCGCGGAGCCGGGCAGCTGCGGAGACAATGGGCACCACGGGCGCCTCCCTCCCTCCCTTCCACCCTCCGTCCCCTCCGCGCCCCCGGCTCACCTTGCCTGCCCACGATCTCGGCCACGTGCTCCGAGCTGGGCACCGGGACGCACTCGGTGGTGTTGGAGCTGCTCTTCAGCCGCAGGTCGGCTTCCTTGTAGAGCACGCAGAGCTTGCCGGCCTCGGGGGCGCCGGGCGGCGGCGGGGGCGGCGGGGGCGGCGGCGGGATGGCCGCCCCCGAGGAGCCTTTGGGGGCCGGCGGCGGCGGGGGCTGCTGCGGCTGCTGGGCTGAGGCCGGCGGGGGCGGCAGCGGGGGCGGCGGCGGGGGCTGCTGGGGCTGCGGCGGCGGGGGGGGCTGCGGCGGCTGGCCGCCGCTGCTGTCGTCCGCCGCCCCGCCGCCCCCCAAGGCCGAGGCGGCGGCGGAGGGTGCGGCGGCGGCGGCGGCCGAAGGCTCCCCCAAGCCCAGCAAGCAGAGCTGGTCGAGGGCCAGCTGCAGCGCCCGGTCGTCCTCCAGCAGCGCCCGGTCCTTGCTGCTGCCCGGAAAGCAGCCCAGGTCCCCGAAGCCCCCGTTCCTTTCCATTATCCCTGACACTACCAGGCTAGGCATGGCTAACAAAGGCTGGGGAGAGAGGGGGGTGGGGGGGCGCGGCGGCGGGATGGCGATGATGGGGCTGCTCCTGCTTTCGCTGGGGCGGCTGCTGCTGCTGCTGCTGCTCCTGCCGCTGGTGGGCTGGGAGGGGAGGGGAGGGGGCTGGGCGGCGGGGGAGGAGGAGGAGGAGGGGAACAAAGAGCCTGCGAGGAAGAAGGGGCAGGCACAAAGAGGGGGAGCGAGGCGGCCGGGTGGGAAGAGCCGGAGACCCCCGCCCACCTCCCTTCTTTCCCTGCTGGCCGAGCCCCAGCTCCCCGCTCCTTTTGCCTCTGGCGGCTCGGCTCGGCTGTTCTCCTCGCCCGGTGCTGCCTGCGCTGAAACCTGATCTTCCTGCCCAACGTGGATCCAGCCGCACAAAGCTCTTCCGCGCGTCCGCCCGCTCTTTCTTTCTTTCTTTCTTTCTTTCTTTCTTTCTTTCTTTCTTTCTTTCTTTCTTTCTTTCTTTCTTTCTTTCTTTCTTTCTTTCTCTCTCTCTCTCTCTCTCTCGTCTCCTTCCTTCCTTTTCTTTCTTTTCTTCCTTCTTTCCTTTCCTGCTTTCTGCTCTCGCTGCTCTCCCAGACCCCGCCTGGCAGCGAAGGGGGTGTGGAGATGGAGACCTGGAAAGAGGAGAGCGAGAGCGCGCAGCAGAAGCGCGGAGGGGCGGGGAGACCGGGCAGAACCGAGGAGCGCCCGAGTCCGCCCGCCTTGGCCAGTCAACCACCCAGCCAGCCGGCAAGGACCGCCGACCCGAAAGGCTCCGGCCGCGGGAGGGGCGGGGGACGCCGGAGAGCTTCTTTTGTTTTAAATTCCCTGGCTGCAGCCCGGAGCTGACAGTCGGGAAGAGGCCCGGAGGCTGCTGGGGGATGTAGTTTCCAGGGCGGCTCACACACCCCCTCTTCGCTCTCCGGGCGCGAGGCGGGCCGGCGGGGCTGGCAGGCAGAGACCCGCATAAGGCGGGGAGGGGGCAGGCGTGCGCTCCGGCCCTGCCCCCCCTGCCAGCCGGAGCCTTCCGCGGGAGGGCAGGCGGGGCTGCGGGCATTTCCGGGCTCCCGAGCCCCCTCTCTCCGGCAGGGACCACCTCCCCGCGGAGCCCCAAGGACAGGTCGCCCAGGGCGGAACGAGGAGCCCCTCGCTCTGGCAGCGCGGCAGCAGTTGCGGGCCTCGGCGCAGGGCCCCGCCCGGCCTCCGCGTCCCGGGAGCGGCGGTGCCCTGCTCGGCCCGGGGCTCACGCGCCACTCGCGGAGAAAGGCCGGAAAGCCTTCGGCTGGCTGGCTCCGGCTTCGCCCCGCGCTCGGCCTGGGAGGCGGCGGGCGAGAGGCGCCTCGGAACGGATCCGCCGGCCCGCCCCTTCTTTGGGTAGAAGAGCCGCCGGCTGGGCCCGAAGCGAAGAGGCTGGGGGAGGGCGCTGGCCCCTCCGCCCTCGGGCTGTGCCCGGGAGGGATCTGCAGAGGCTCCGCGCGGGAGTCCCGGGGCCGAGCCGGGTGACCCTGTTTTACATACTGGAGGGTCCCCGTAAGGCTGACCTGAGCCTATTGGCAGGCAACCCAATGCAACCTACCAACAGGACGGTGTGGAAACAATGTGGAGTTGTCTGAGAAACTTGTATATTTGTTAAGGGAGACATCGAACATTTTTAAGTATGAAGATCATTGGACCAGAAGCCAATTTTTAAGTAAAACTGATCCTACCGCTGAGAAAAACAATTGCAGTTATTTTTGATGATAGTTCAGTCCCTTCGCCCTGAAATCTATCCTTCTGTTCAACAACTACTTAAGAATCGTCCCTGCTCAGTTAGGTTTCCCTTTGTTGCCCTTTGTGATATTCCACATTATGACCATTTGTTAATTCTGAGTCTAAAGTGCAGCCATTCAGGACCCAGAGATGCTAATTTTATCCCATGTCCACACTTAAGGTTCTGACTGCATCCCACTCAACACCAGGAGCTTCTACACCTGGTCATCTCTCTCTCACTCACACACACACACACAGAGAGAGAGAGAGAGAGAGAGAGAGAGAGAGAGAGAGAGAGAGAGAGCCATCATTTACTAGCAATGCCCATTCAATTCATCTTAGGAGAGAGAGGCCTATCGCTCAGCAGCACAGAAAGCCAAAACATCAGAGACTTATCAGCCAGCAGTTGCTTTGTGAATGGAGAGCATTCATAAAGTAATTAGCCTCCGTTCTGCCTTGCCACTCTCTGCCACCCTCATTCCTGTCACCAGGCACATATTTCCTTGTCATTTGGGGTACAAACCAGGCAGTGGCCCACCAAAGGCTCTCATAAAACTGGTGAAGGGTTTCAGGTGCCACAAAATCTCTGTTCTAGTTAAGCTGTCCAGAGTCATCTGTGCATGAGTTGGAGGTGTGTGTGAATATAAATTTGTTTAATAAATAAATAAACAGACCAACCTCCTTGGATGGATTGTTGCCTAGTCTGACCCACATTCATCCAAGGAACGTCTGCCTTGTAATAAGCCGTCTGGGTCAGCAAAGGGGCTACCAGGCCCTTTGGATTCTGGACTGAGTGGGTAAGGGTGCTTCATGATGCCACAGCACTGAGCCACCTTTCCTGGCCTGTTCAGACACCCAAAGTCTGCCTGCCCCACCTTCCCCCAGGTAGCTTGCCCAGGCCTTGTGATTTGAAAGTGGATTGCCCCTGGCTGGTCCTGTCACCTGAGGGTCCCCAACCCCTTAGCCTTGAGGAAACGATCCCGGGGACTAGAGAGAGAGAGAGACCCGTCCCTGTGGCTTTTTCCAACCTCTTGGGGATGGCCATTAGCTTCACGGAGGAGTTTCTCAACCATATTTTTTTCAACTGCTGTTTTTGTTTAATGGGACAGAAGTAAAGCGACTAAGCCTGTGGAAAAGGATCACGTAAAATGTCCATGAAATAAAATGTAGTTTTAGCCCAGGCACCCTTCTCCATTTGGCGAGTGGGGGTGGATATCCCTTGGATCCCCTCGGCCTCATTGGGGAATGCGGGCCTCCTGCTGGCCTCTGGCTCTCCCAGTTCCAGATTCGTGGTTTTTCTAAGGATTCACCCCCTCCCGCTCCCACTGAGGTCCGGAAGTCCCAATATTCTGGCCCAGCAAGTCCGGGGCAGGAGCCCATTTAGCGTCACCTGGCTGGGAAAGGCCCTCCTCTGCCTGGGAGTCGAGACCAGAGTTGGCTTCGCTCTAAGTCGTCTTCCTGCAACTGGTGTCCTCCAGGTACGATGAAATCCTGGATCAATCAGGTTGGAAAAGCATTCTTTAGAGTAACCCTGACTTAGCCATGATGGTTTGGTCTCCAAAAGAAGTTTGATCAATTCTTCAAAAAGAAAGAAGCGGGTCAGATGGTATGGACATAAATGTGGTTTGCGAAGACCTTAAAGCAGCAACTCTCAACCTCAGCAACTTTATGTTGTGTGAGTCCAGCTCCCAGCCAGCATGCTTTGTGTGTAGGGACTCCAACTCCCATTCTGGCTGAGGAATTCTGGGCCTTGAAGTCCACACAGTTTAAAGTTGTTGAGAGACTCTGACCTTAAGAAATCCGATGAGATGAACTCCAGCTTGCACCAGCCTCTCCAAGACTCTGCCCTGGTGATTGGTGGGCCTCAAAACTGCCTGGCTTTGCACAACTCTGTGACGTGACCAGGTATCGTCAACAAAGGGATCCTTTCTCATGCTGCTGCCTTCTGTTCTGACATGTCCACAAGAAGAAGGAAGAGACAGTTGCAGCCTGGGCAAGCGAGTCCCCCTCCCTTTCATTCCTCGCAGAGACCCTTCTCTCCACTCAGCTCTGACCACCCAGTTCTCAACAGCAAACTGCACAGAGGTGAGCAGAACAGACTTGCACAGACAGACCCGACTCTCTGTGGCAGAGACCCGGGTGCTGCTCTGGGCTGGAAGGGCCGAAGGCCACAAAGCCAAAGATGCCAGGGACCCCAGACTCAGGGCCCCTCCCCCAGCTCTTTTACATCAGCAAGGGAGGCTGGGCGGGAGGTGGAGAGGAAGGGAAGCAGTGCTGGACTGAGTCCTCTTCCCAAATCTGGGCTGGGGGCAGTGGAGAGGAATGCCTTTTCTTCTCTCTGAAATGGGGGTGGGGGGTGAGGGCTGGGAAGGCTTTTGTTCTTGGAAGGCTCCAGCCCCCCCTTTGAATCAAAACAGATGTCTCTCCCATTACCGCCATCTATTGCATGAGCTCATGGAGGGGAGGGGAGGGAGGAGGGGGCAAGGGGACCAGGAGGGAGGGGCAGAGGGAAGGAGGAAGAGCCCTGGGGAGATGCTCAGGGGGCTGCTGCCGGCAGGCTTCTTGCTCTGCAGGGGTGGGTGGGGGGAGGGAAAGGCAGGGGGAACCAGGCGCAGCCCTGGGACTCCACTCTCTGGCACCTGCCTGCCTGGTGAGTCTCTTCCATCAAGCCAAGGATTCCCTTGCCATGCCTTCAGGGAGGTCCCTGAGGCCTGCCAAGAATTCGGGGGGGAGGGGGGGCAGGAGAAAAATGTTCCCGATCCCACCACCCTGGGCACCAGACTCGGAAGCCAGCCACCCCCGGGGCAGATAAACCAAGGGCTTTGCCCTGGCATTTTTGCTGGAACGAATGTGGAACAACTGGCAGCTGGTCCTGACCTGCCACCTCTCTGGAAAGCACTCCTCTCCTACTCTCACCCATGTCTCTGAAGCCGCCTATTGCACAGCTGGTTGTTCACAAGGTGGTTCAAATGCACCAGGGCCGTTCCTGAACCTGTGAATTCCTAATCTGAGACCGCGGTTGAGACCGTGGGCGTTAATCTGAGAACTGACGAAGGGAAAGAAAGTAGAAGGCAGAGATTTGAAAGAAGGCAGTCACCAGTCTTGCCTGACCTCGCTAAAAAAGGGAGGGACTTAGGATATTTCAGGGACTACTTATAAGTGGACAAGGGGAGAAGCTGACCACACAGGCAGTCTTCCGCTTACAACCATTCACTTAGCGACTGTTCAAAGTTACCACGGCATTGAAAAAAGTGACTTAAGATCATTTTTCACACTTACGACCGTTGCGGCATCCCGATGGCCACGTGATCAAAATTCAGATATTTGGCAACCGGTTCATATTTATGACGGTCACAGCGTCCTGGGATCATGTGATCGCCTCTTGCGACCTTCTAGCAAGCAAAGTCAATGGGAAACCGGATTCACTTACCAACTGTGTTAACCCTTTCACAACTGCAGTGATTCACTTAACATCTGTGACAAGAAAGGTCATAAAATGGGGCAAAATTCACTTAGCAACCTCATCACTTAACAACAGAAATTTTGAGCTCGGTTCTGGTCATAACTCCTTATAGTTGGCCACAGGCTAACAGCCACTATTTCCAGATGGGTTTTCAGCCCTGCAGATTGGAACAAGTTTTCTTCCCCCCCCCCTTTGGCTCCACAGATTTTGACAGAAGGGAGGCTCAGTTTTGACTTGGATTTGCCAAAGTCTGCTTTTGCGGCCACCGCCCACATGTTCCTGGTGGCCTCAGGCAAGCCCCCCTTGGAGAAATGGGAGGTGGCCAGAAGGCGGCTGAAACCCCAGACAGCCAAACAACAACACTGGCCCCACCGGCTCTTTCCTTCCTCTTCCTGCTTGCACTGATTCTTTTTAAAGTTTTTTTTAATCCCAACATTATTACTGTGAGCAACTCAGAACCATCAGCCTTCAGGCAACGGCTGCTTGAGCATCGTCCGTCCTGCGAGCACGTCCAGCCGTGGGATCCCAGCCTCTCACCACTTACTGAACAAGACACGGCTGGCCTCCTTCGCAGGACCCTGAGGAACCAGGGAGGATTGGAGAAGGGAGGACGAGAGCCATTGCTGTATTTGAAAAGGGGCATGTTACAAAGGGGCGGGGCTTCAGCCACGGGGTGCTGGCCACCCTCTTTCTGGCCTACTTCCCGCAGACACCCCGAGTCGATGGGGAAGCTGAGCGTGAGGCAGCCCAGTAGCGAAGCTGCCCTTCGTCACGTCTACTCCTCAAACAGCCAGACTCAAAGATATTTACCAGCAGCAGCTTCAAGCAGTGTTTCTCAACCTTGACAATTTTAAGGCATGTGGACTTCAACTCCCAGAATTCCACAGCCAGACCTACTTCCCTCAGATCCAGAGCAGGGAGAGGCCTCCTCCTCTTCCCTCTCCCATCATGGAGCGTCTCTCTCTCTCTCTCTCTCTCCATCCCCCCCCTCTCTCTGCTTCTCTGTCTCTGTCTGTCTCTGTCTCTCTCTCTCTGTCTGTCTCTGTCTCTCTCTGCCTCCTGCCAGTGGGAAGGCTACAGGTGTGTTTGTTTATTTATTTATTTATTTATTTATGAGACTTATATACCGCTTTAAGTGCAAGCACTCTCTAAGCGGTATATATATATATATATATATATATATATATATATATATATATATATATAGGTCTTTGGTTGTTCGGGTTTTCTCCCGCGTAAAATTGGAAGTGTCTTGGCGACGTTTCGACGAAGTCCCATTCGTCATCTTCAGACTGGTGTTTTCAGCTTCGTGCTTTGAGCAGCAATATATATATATATATTTACATTGCCCCCAACAATCTGGGTCCTCATTTTACCTACCCCGGAAGGATGGAAGGCTGAGTCAACCTTGAGCCGGT